AAAAAAAAAAAAAAAAACAAGTAAGGAAGGGCTAAGTTCGGGTGTCACCGAACATTTTATACTCTCGCATGATAAAGTGATAATCGAGATTTCAGGCGTGGTTGTGAACCGATTTCACCCATATTTGGTACATGTMATCACGGTGTTAAGAAAATATTATATACCGAATTTCATTGAAATCGGTTGAGTACTTCCTGAGATATGGTTTTTGGTCCATAAGTGGGCGACGCCACGCCCATTTTCAATTTTTGAAGCAGCTGAAGGATGCAGCTTCCTTCTGATATTTCTTCCGTAAATTTTAGTGTTTCTGACGTTTTTTTGTTAGTCGGTTAACACACTTTTAGTGATTTTCAACATAGATTTTGTATGGGAGGTGGGCGTGGTTATTATCCGATTTCTTCCATTTTTGAACTGTATATGGAAATGCCTAAAGGAAACGACTCTATACAGTTTGGTTGACATATCTATAGTAGTTTTCGAGATATGTACAAAAAACTTAGTAGGGGGCGGGGCCACGCCCACTTTTCCAAAAAAATTGTGTCCGAATAAGCCCCTCCCTAACGCGATCCTTTGTTCCAATTTAATTTTAATATCTTTATTTATGGCTTAGTTATGACACTTTATAGGTTTTCGCTTTCCGCCATTTTGTGGGCRTGGCAGTGGGCCGATTTTACCCATCTTCGAACTTAACCTTCTTATGGAGCCAAGAAATACGTGTAGCAAGTTTCACCATGATATCTCAATTTTTACTCAAGTTACAGCTTGCACGGACGGACGAACAGACGGACGGACGGACAGACAGACATCCGKATTTCAACTCTACTCGTCACCGTGATCACTTTGGTATATATAACCCTATATCTGACTCTTTTAGTTTTAGGTCTTACAAACAACCGTTATGTGAACAAAACTATAATACTCTCTCTAGCAACTTTGTTGCGAGAGTATAAAAAAGACTAAAACAATTCGATAGCTGACAGTTTATGCTTAGTAAAAATGAATCGTTCCACGATAGAATAACGTGTCTTCATTATAGAACAATATTGCGAATAAAATGAAAGCTTGCCTTGTCATAATTGTGTTTTAACTTTGTCAACTCTGAAAGTTTATTGAAATGACGGCAAATTTAAGTCTTGAGTTAATTTGGGACACCCAAACTATGTTCTAATTATTTACGAGAGTATCCAGTAATCGGTTACTTCTACTATCAACTACGGCTTCATGATACATACGAGCTGGTAAGGCAACTTCTGAACTCACACTTTATGAAACTCAGTAATTCGTTATCGGTTTATTGTACTTGAATTTAACTCTGAAATGTAGAAATAAGCAAATTTGTGGCAAACTAATTCCGTTGCTCTATTCGAAGAAAATGTAAAACTTACTTAACAAAATTGAAAAATAAATATTTAATAAATAATTTTGTATATCCTGTTTAAGCGGCTCGAAAACAGTGATTCATATGCCTCATCCAATTTCCGATAAGTGCACGTGTATTGGTATGTATATCTGTGTACATTGTATAATATTCAGTTCTTGCCTGCCGTTTTCCTCTGGCATTTATTCTTTGCATTTCACTGATATTCATAACCAAATTCAGAACGATTTGCTGAATATTTCTGGAAAAGAAAAGCTTCTGCAATTCAATGGCAAGCGAACAAGAACAAAAAATAATAAAAATAAAATTGAAAACACAGAAAATCATGCTAAAACTAAATTAGCAAGAAACGATGAAGCCAGACTAAACGCAAAGCGACAACAGCAACAAATAATCAATTAGACAGGTGAAACAGAGCAGCAAAACGAAGTTCCAACTTTTGCCGCTGCAGACAACATTTTCTATTAATCTTTCTTCTGCTTTGGTATTTTCGCTCATATTTTGCTTGCTCGGAAGTGCGCACATAGCAAGCGGCTGTTGATTTTGACAGCAACAACAACTGCATGAGCAATAGTCAGGCTTTCCTTTGCCACGACCTTGCCCCCCACCCATGCACTGGCTCCAGCGCTGGTATTTGGCTTCACTCGTCTCGTGTTAGCGTTGTGCCGTTTTTTCGACTTGTTTGTGTAGTTGTATATTGGTGTATGTGTGTGTATGTGTGTGTGGCATTAGTTCTCCTTGGCCTTGTTGCTGCGGCAAGAACTTGACCAAGATGCTGCTGTCATATTGCCGTTGCTTGCGGCAATGAAATGTGCAACACAGCCACAAAACGAACCAAAGAGCTGCAGCAGCAACCACAATAGCAACACGAACAGCAGCAACAAATACCGCTGAGTTGGCGGTGAAGGTGAAGGAATTGCTTTTCGTTTGCTGCAATGGCATTAACAATAAAATGCGAATGCGGCTGGGACGTGGAAATGAAAAGCACATAGCCAGCAACAACAGCAACCACAGTAATAGCAGCGGCAACAACATCTGCAGCACGTGCACTATGAGCATTGTAGGCAATGCGCATTCAGCATTCTTTGTATTAGCTCGACGCCAGCGCCGCCGCAGCGTTGATCGCCGCACAATTTGCTTAAACAATAAAATTTAAATGCAATGCAAAGATTAGCTGCGGTGAGAATTTCGCAATTTCACTGGCATCTACACTCCGCAACAACATGCTCATTGCTTTGCACGCCTGCTCGTACCGCCGACCTCGCCATCCACCTGCGATTGGCTTGTTCTGAATATGCCGGTATTGCTGTGGCGCTTGCGCGACATGATTGCACAGCATTGGGCATTTGCGTGCGTCCGCACCCTCGTCTTGGTCTATGTCGGCAGTTTCGCCTTCTCCGTCACCTTGGTCTTCATCTTGGTCGACGTCTTCTCCTTCGCACTGGCTCTGGCTGCGGCTGTGGCTTTGCGTGGCCGATTGTTGTCTGTCACAGATTGGAGTGTTTGATTTTAATGGAGTTTTAATGGCACGCGCTCAACTATTTCACCTGCACCATTCACTCGGCATTGTTCCGTTCTCCCGACTTTACTTTCAAAGCGCTTATGGACTTGGAAATTATCGCAATTGAACTTCTTGGAAATTTGCTGCACTGTGAAATTGTCTACGGTGTGGCAGTTTCATTGAGCTGCGTATGCACAAGTATTCGCAGAATATTATTAATATTAGAAAATGACAATTATTTTTCTTCTTTTTTAGTTGCGGCTAACAGTTATTCGATTGTCTTTTAGCTTATTTTAGTTTTTGGAAATTGCTAAGATTTACCTCGTTTCACTCAATCAGAACTTTAATATTGGGTAGTCGAAGAAGTCTTTTCGTATTTTGTAAATAGATGTCGTTGCAGTGGTATGCCTCCAGTGCCACCAATCATATTGTGTCATACCGCATAGTGTTGTAAAGGTGAGGCTTCATTTAACCCTAAAGGAAATTAAACTCGGGGAAGTTGAAAAAAAGTTACAGCTGCTCAAAAGTCAAAATAATGAAGAAATTCGCTATATTTTGAAATTTTTGTATAAAAAAGTAAAGAATGCCACAAGTTCGAAAATCTTTATACTAGTTATATGGCGGCTAAAATAGACCTTTATCCGCTTCAAACCATTTTTAACATATACGCATTCTGTTCAGGTTCTGCTCAGAACATCCATAACAAATCTCACAGATTAATAGTTTCGATAAAATGTTCGCTGAAGAAATTGTGATCTACATATTCGGTATCTGTTATTAGTTGTAGTCCGATTTTGCGCGAACTATTCCAAAAAATATTTATAACGATTCAGTCCTTGGTTGCATACTCGAATATGAAGGAAACAGAGAGAATTTGAAATTGTGTTACATAAGAAGTAGGCGTGGTTGTATGACGACACGGGTTTACAACAGTGGTATGTCTTCTCATTTTGACGTGAGCTCCTATAAAGCCCTTTTGAATAAATCCTTAATGTATATGTATAGTATTGATTTCTTTACAAACGCTAATATTTCTTAAGGCAATGCTAAATATTTTGCTTAACTTACTTTATTAGAACATACATGTACTTCTAAATTAAAAAAGTTTTATCCGTCCTATCGATTGCCATAGTCTCATTAGTTTCTTTAAAAATTTTAATAATACAGCTTTGACACTTACTGAGCTTTCTTTATTAACACATTAGTCTCTTTCCTGAAACACTCACCTCATAACATGTGTGAGGAAAATAATTCTGCAATACTACTTTAAAGTATGCCATATTTTCAAAGAAGTAATGTGTTAATAATAGTACTACAAATAGTAATATCATATCATCCGTGATATATATCGGGTAAATAACTAACTTATTTTATTCCGAAATTCGTTAGAATACTATCATACATAATATAAAAAAGAAACTTCAGTCGAGACAAGTAGTGATTTTGCCTTGAAAGAAGAAGAACGTCCTGGGCGATCAAACAATTTTGAAAATCAGAAACTGGACGCACTATCCGATAAAGATTGTTGACAAACACAAGAACAAGAGTCACTTCAGCGGCCATTTCAAAACACTCAAATGTTTCAAAAAGAAATCATCGGCTTGCACCGGATTGTGACAAGTGATGAAAAAGGTATGCAAAATCGGATATTTTGGATATATTTCGTATTGTCCATATTTTTCCAATTCTGAAAAGCCTCATTGGAAAATGTTTCACCTCAGTATGGGTATCAAAAACTGGTTTGATTCGTTCTTGTCCGTCAAGCCGGCACAATTCTTTTGGAGTGCAATCCACAAATTACAAGAAAAACGCTAAAACTTAAGATAGCTACTTTGAAAAAAAAAATCACGCACATGTTTATGGACTCAATTATAGACCCAATAAATCAACCTAAACAGTTGCATTAAAACATCGTTAGCGCCGAAAGGGTTAAATTATTGGCATATACCCATGCCCAGTAAGTTTCAATGTCACAGATTTTTAATTAAAAAACTTTGTTTAATTTCTGCGTATATCGCACCATATAAAGGCGACATTATAGCGTGTACTTAGTTTAGTTCGAGGTCAGAGGCTCAGCTGTTTCGCTGCAACTACAGCCTTATTTGCTGTTTCGTTGTCATTATGTCGAAGATATTACGTTTCCGTAGTGCTATCGTTTACAAGTCGCGTGACGCGCTCACATATCTTTTCAATATTTTCACTTTCGTGGGCACAAATCCGTTGGAGAACCGTTCACAGCGATATTATCGTCTGTATTATTTCTATTCGTTTACGGTGAACTTCATTTGCTGCCTTTTCTGTCCGCTTTCATTTCACATAGGCTACATAAAATTGAGACACGTGCTAACCAATAGCCAATTACTGGCCGCCATACAAAATGCGGTGCAAGTGTCGGGCATCCCTATAAAGATACTCGTCATCACTTGGTACATGAAGCGTCTGCGACATGCGTTTGACATTCTCGATGAACTGGACGTGAATTATACGCGGCGTGAAGATTTGGCGAAAATACGCGAATGCGTACGACGTTGCAGGAAAATTGTGTTGATATTCTGTTTCCCCTACTACAGTTTTGAGTTGTCGACCATAGCGCTGGGTGTGGTACAGAATCGCGCTCCGCTGGCTGCGTGGGTGCCTTTCTTAAATGGACAACGCGCCGCTTGGGAGTACTGGACGATTGTGTTGTGGGATGCATTTGTTATGTTCTTTTTGTTGTGCCATCAGCTCGGGAGTGACACCTATCCGCCGATATTCATTAATATCATACGCACACATATACAATTATTGATCACGCGTGTGAATCGCTTGGGGCGCGCGGGTGCGCTGACTGCGGACGAGCATTATGAGGAGCTGCTGGGATGCATTCGCACACACGTTCAAATTGTGAGGTAACCAAGTGGTTTTATTAATAATATTTACAACAAAAATAATATTTTTTCTAAACCATTTTGTTTCTCAGCATTGCAAAGATTGTCGCACCCGTCATTTCTGTTACTCTTTTCACTCAATTCGCTACTACGGCCACCACACTGTTAAATTGGTTGGGTAATGTGGAATATCCGGAAAATATTATCTCTCTCGCCTTTTTCTCCTGCCAACTGTTGCAAATTTTGCCCTGCTGCTCGTCCGCCTCCCAACTCATTGCCGATTGTGAGCGCTTGCCCGACGCCATTTTCCACTGCAACTGGGTGGATCTGGATCGTCGCTTTCGTCGGGCAATTCTGTTTTTTCTGCAACGCACTCAAAATCCCATACGCTTTTCGTGCTTGAAGCTTTTCGATGTTAAGCTCGAGACAAGCGTCGCGGTGGGTTTAATGAAATTTCTGGCATTTCAATTGAATTTTTTTATTAATTAATTGAATGCTTTGTTCTTTGTAGATTGGAAAATTCGCCTTCTCGCTTTACACTTTAATAGAGGAGACCACAGTTGGCACTAATACGGACAATTAAGAATTGGAACGAGAGAACCTAGTGGAAACTTAGTAGTGAAAATGGTGATAAAATTGCATCTAAATAGAAATTAATTCACCAATAAATTCATTAAACTATACTTTAAAGTAGATAATGTGATCTAGAAACTGACGACCGTTGAGCATAATTAAAGGGTTAATATTATTCCAATTACATAAACTAAAGTTGAATATCGTTTTTGTCTAATATTTCAATTAATTTTTTTTTTTAAATTTTTGCGAGAGAAGGGTCAATATGACCTGTGCAAGTGGTCATTACTGTGTTGATGAGGCTGTTGAAAATTTGAGCTCATACTTTCTTTATTTTCACAACAAGTTGTTGCAGATTCTTATAGTTTTGTTCATCTAACGGTTGTTTGTATCACCTAAAATTAATCGGAGTAGAGATAGGGTTATATGTACATAAATTTAGATACAAAAGCAACTGAAAATTGTGATTTAAATTCCCCCGGTACATGATACTATATACTATGCCAAATATGAGCACGATCTCTCAACCGATTTGTTTATAGCAGCTGCTTAAATCAGTACACCTCAATATTAAACAAAGAATTTTTGTCAGGTTTTGTATTCCTAACCAGATTTCGTGTACGCAATCGGTTATTCAAAACACACAAGGATACAAGTGGTTCAAAGCCTTCAAAGCCGATCGAGATATCGTTGAAGGTTTGCCTCGTTCTGCACAACCTTTTGCCTCTTCAACTGATAAAGATATTGAAACAGTGCACGGTATGGTGACGTCATGTTGCTTCAAAACGTTTTATCGTCAAACAAGAAAAAACGTTAACTTCGGCTTTACCGAAGTTAATATACCCCTCATACTAGGTGCATTTCTTTTAGCAACTATATGTTCACTTTGTATAGAAGCTATATGCTATAGTAAGCCGATCTGCACAATATTTTCGGAGATAACATTGTTGCCTTAGAAAATAATCGATACCAAATTTCGTAAATATATCTTGGCAAATGCGAACGTTTTCCATACAAAAACTTGATTCCGATCGTTCAGTTTGTATGGCAGCTATATGTTATAGTGGTCCGATATCAGCAGTTTCGATAAATGAGTAGCTTCTTGTAGAGAAAATGACGTTTGCAAAATTTCAAAACGCTATCTTATATATACAGATATATACAGACGGAAAAACAGACGGGCATGGCTGAATCGACTCAGCTTGACATACTGATCATTTATACATTTATTTTATAGTGGCTCCGACGCTTCCTTCTGGTGTTACAAACTTCGTGGTAAACTTAATAAATCCTGTTCAGGGTATAAAAATGCACTTATAAGATGATTTTATAATCACATCGCTCTTCATGCTTTATATGATGCGATATCACATCACAAAAAAAGTCACAAAAAAAAAAATGGGAAACAGAAAATTTTGAATACTGCCACTATTACAAAATATTACATCCGATCATAATGCAAGGGATATATATGTATGTACATACTCGTATGTGACATTTGCAACATGTAGCTAGCAACATATCCAAAACATAGTGTATGTACATATTGCAACACAGTCTAAATGTTTAGAAGCAGTTTGTGGTGTTTATTGAAAATGAAATCTCTCCAAGTCTTTGAATGTCATCCAAAACAGCGACAAGTGAAGCAGTATTAATATTTTTGGTTTGAAGATATATATAAGAATAAATAACTGTTGACCCATGAGACATCATCGCTCAACTAAAATTAAAATTCATTTATTCTTTCTGATAAAAAAAAAAAAAAAAAAAAAAAATCGAAGAGAGACTTAAACTAGCTCAATCATTACACATTTTTTATTAGAATAATTTTAAACAAATTTATTTTCAATATTCGTGGGGATTTAATTTTAATACTAAAATCAAATGCAGTCCTTTGAACTTTAGGACTTCATTGAAGTCGAGAATACTTTTAATGTGAATAACATGGGAGTAAGCTAAACAAATTGGATTTTAGACGACACTTTGTCGTTGATTATTCAGGTATTAAAATGAGGAATTATCTTTTATTTTCCTTCCAACCTTTAAAATAGCCGCTTATCCAATACTTGAGAGCAACATTTATGTAGATCAGCTTCTCATAAATAAGTAGAATCCTATTTACTTCGAATACTATTAACAAATCCTGCCCTAGTTAATAGATTTATAGACAATGGAATGTTAATTTCAAAATATCCAATTTTAAAACTGAACGTATTTCGCGGAATGCTGCTGAGGAGAAAGCCCTTGATATAAATAAAGATCAGTTTCTCTTGTGTCAACTGCTTTTGGATTTGTTGGCATTCTTAGATTTTCAATACAAATACACTATTTTTATCGCTACAAATAAATACAATCCATTAATAATCTTGATTACTTTTACATACAAAACGAAATTTCATACAATTCTTTAAAAAAAACCCTCGCATCTACCAGATGTTTCTAAACAAAACCGTTAACTTGCCAACTACAACATCACAGCAGCAAATCCACCAAACTCTCCAAAAGCGCACAGACTCATGCCGATAACGCGTGGAGAGAAATGTTGACTCGCTACTTGAGCGCCACTTCACACCACAGCTCCACTGCCGGCGACGCTGCCTTGCTGCGGGAGCTTCAGTTCAACACAACTTGAATTGACTCCACAATTTCAGTTGCAGTTTGTGTCTCGCGCGCGACGGTTCGTTAGCGGTGAAATAGTTGTATTCTGCTCTGTGCCGCTCTGTCGATTGCTAAGCACCGAAACGGTGAATAGACTCCACACACCGGCGTCTCTGTGTGTTTGCTTGTGACTGGCGTTCGTTGGCCAACGACCACTGACGTTTGCGTTTGGTTCGCTTCGCCAAAGTGTAGTGCAAATTCGGCGGTGCAGCAGCACTACGCTTACCGGCATTCGGTCGCAGTTGTCTGTCGCGGTCGTTACAAGTGCGTTGGATGCGTCGGTGAGCCGGGCGCTAAGTTGCGTGCCCGCACAGTGATTGATTAACGTCTGTCAGATACAGTTGCAATCGCATGTTGCTAACATTGCCCGAGCAATACGCTTTATTACGTCGCGTTCACATTGCCGAGTGAATGAGCGCTGACTGGGCGATGCGGTGCGGGCCGCTATACTTATGAGTGTTTTATTGAAATAGTTCATCAAAATCGAGTGCAATAAAACACACATATATATATACTTACTTCGCCGGATTTTGTGCAGTGTTTGTGTTGTTGTTGTGCAAAAGTTCAGCTTTTTACGGTAATTTAATACAATTTCTGTTAATAAGCATAAACGGGTGATTTTATGTTGAAATTGAAAAAAAAAACACTAAAAATTTTATGTGCAAATTCTTACATAAGCACATACATACTTACATACAAACATGTATGCAAATCATGTAATTTGAAGACCGTGTTGAAGTTGAAATTCAAAAATAGTTTTACGCCTCCCCTTCATTGTTTACATAAATGATTCTCAATAAGTAGTAGGGCTGTTGTTGTTATTGCTTCCGTGTTCATATGTACCTTTTTGTGCTGTGTGGCCACTTGATTCACAGTCTTTTATGTGCGTTTGCCTTAGAATTGCTATTAAAATGTGCTGGAAATATGGATTTGAAATGCCTCGCTGCTTTCAATTACAAAAACACAACTGTGGACCTTTGCAACCTCAAGATGTGCGCGTCAAATCGCTGTGTTGTTTTGTTTTATGCCTTTTAATGGGCTTTTGTTGTTGTCTTTGAAATTTGTTTACGTTTTTATTGAGTGAATTACGTGACTGTTGAATTCTTTCGCTGTTTAATTAATGTTATTTATAGACTTAATATGCTGTTAAGCGACTTCACCAAAAAAATTTAAATTTATCAGACGCTTGAAATCTAAAATATCAGCATTTCAAAACGCAATTTCGCTATAAGGAATTAATTTTAAATTTGCGGTATTAAAATTAATATTACTTGCGGAAATAATAGAAAAACACTGTAATTTACTTTTTAATTATTATTATTTTTTCAATTTGAAATACTGAATTTAACTATTAGAAAATAAATATGTTTTTAGTGCATATATTAATTACAAAATGCAAAAACAATTAATATGTTTGAATACTTTTTCGTTATTTTGTTGCCATTTACCACTTTATGCGAAATTTTTAATCAATTAGTGATTACTAATTAATGCTATTGGCAAGCTAAAATAATATTAAAAAGTATATAGAA